CAATGATAATATCAGGCTTTCAGTAAACATATTGATTCTCTTTCTCTTCAGAAAGATGATGTTCAGTGTTCCTAACAGTAGATGAAAAACCTTCATGATACAACAATGATAATATCAGGCTTTCAGTAAACATACTGATTCTCTTTCTCTTCAGAAAGGTGATGTTCAGTGTTCGTAACAGTAGATGAAAAACCTTCATGATACGTGCTGTATTTCTGTTGTCCTGGTTCTACACTAAGCTAACAGTGTACCCTACTTGTATTATTTATTGTACTGTGTTGTTTTTCTATACAATTTTTGGCATCTGCTTAGAAAAGGTGATTGTCTTTGAATCCTTCCTTATTGTCTTGATTAATAAAGGAGAACAAAAAAACAAACTAAATGAAAGTGACAAGGAGTAATGCAAGTCTGAGGCAGGGAAGCTTTAACACGTAACAGAGATTTACCAGATTCAATACACGAGCGTACAACAAGTCTGCTGAAGTGTGGCATGTCGGTCTTTGCTCCTGTGGTTAACATCTGCTCTCCAGACTGGGTGCTCACCCTGTATGTTTGTGATACTAAGCTACCCAGCAAGGTTGGCTGTATTATTTGCTAGAGCAGTTGAATTTAAGTACTTCCAGAAACTTTAGTACCAATAGAAACAACCTTATATAGTTTGATAACTCTTGTATTTAAAAAGATGAGATGAGCAAACAGACTTAACTGGCCTTTTGCAAGTTCAATACTTGAAGTGTAGGAAGCAACCAAAAGAATTGAGGCGGCATTTGTACTTTTCTAGAAGTAAAGTACGTCTGCTACTCTGTATTACAGGTTTGGCACGGTAGTATAGGGCATCTTGAGAGGAGTGTTACCTGTGTCTGTAGTTTGTGGTTGTTGATTGTTTGGGGTTTTTTTTTATTATCACCAAAATCACCTTATAAACAGTTGGTCAGAAGATGACAACTGCTGCCCTTTTAGGGTGTAAACCTGGAGAGCTACCCACTGTTTTAATGTTAGCGGGTACCAGGTAGGTTACTAATATAAATGTTTGACTTCAAGAACAAATAGTATTTCAGTATATCTGAAAATAATTCTTTTCAAACTCCTGTTTCAAAATTTAAAAAAAGAAGGGGAGAAAAAGATTTAAAATATTTCTAAATGATTGCATAATTAGGCAACTGAGTCCTATTATATCATCTTTGCATTTGAGGAATGCATGGGTGGAATTGCAGAGTGAGCTGCAATTTTGGAGTGAACAGGATTTTAAGCAGCTCAATATAGAGTGTCTTACTGCTGTACTTCAATATTTTCCCCAAAGTTGCAGTAGATGCCTAGGCCCGCTACTTACCCCCTTGAAATCATGAACAATTGTTTGCAACCCATCACATCCAGTTCCACAATCGCAGACCAACGGTAAAAGGCTTCACATAGGCAGTACCAGTACAGAGGTAGAATGACAACTCCGATTTCAGTCTGTATCACCTAAATGAGGTTAGATGTTTTCTGACCAAGTTTCTGAGTTAGTGGTGACGCCAGGTAGTGAGTGAGTCCATGCGCACATCTGTAAGTCAGGCCCTGAGTTATTCTGACCTTGTGAGGCTTCTGTAAAAGGCCACTGTGCCCTGTTTTGGGCAACTCCGAGCTTTGTGCATGCTGTGATAGATCTAATATGTGAGGTGCGCTCTTGTTATCAATGGCAAACCACGATGATACAGCAGGTGTTGTAAGAGCATCTGGAGCATCTGGCCAAGTGCTGAAGTATGAAACAACACAGCAGAGCAGTGCATGGCTGGTCCTTTTGGGACAGAGAAAGGGACAGAGAATGGGCAAATGACTCTGCCGTAGGTATTCTGGTATGAGACAGAAATTGTGATTTAGGACAGTCCATCTGTCTCATTTTCTGTGCAAGTCCAATCCAACTGGCTAGAAATGGTAGCTGTAATTCCTGGGTTTGGTACTTTTGTTCCGTTTTTGTGGGTGATGTTGCTCTTTGGGAGGATCTCTTTCTCCTGCTGCAGTGTGGAGTGCTGTGCGAACTTGGTAGAAAAATCAGATGCTGAAAAACAAAAAGATCACCCTGGCAATCCACGTGCTGCTGTAGGTCATGGATTATAGCTCTTTTCCCTACCTTCCGTCTGCCCCCCCATTCCCCAATAAAAAACAAGCTTGGTAAGTGCGCCTTTCTTCCTAAACCAGTGGAGACTCTCCATGCCAGTTTCTGTGAAAGTTGAAGTATCCTTTTGCTCCTAGAGGCTTTTATATAAAAAACATTTGTCTTTAAAGTGTTTACATAAATAATACTTGTAAAAAAACTTAAGACCTATTGCACACTGTAGGGATTATTCAGTGGTAGTAACATTTATATAACAAGACACTTTAGCACATGGTTAAGTCCAAGTTCAAGCATTTGGCTTTTAACTTCCAAAGTGTTTAATGGAGTTACCTGTTTGCTTAATGCTGAAAAAATATGAAAAAGTTTATGTAATTTTGAGATGAGAGACCCAACAAAATTATTGATTGTGCAGCAAATATCCAAACTTCAGTTGTAGAATGTACTTGATTTTCTTGACCTGTGGCTAGTAAGTCCATGTATGTTTACAGGAGAGATCTTTTCTTGTGTGACTCCAAAATGTTGGTGTAGAATGTCAGTATCTGGGAACTATTACTGTATGTTGACAAGCTTTATCGTTTAGCAGTGGCAATAACAACAAAAATTAAATGGATACTTGTAACGTAGACATAGCACCAGAGAGTCTGCAGACTCTATTAGCCACAAAGTACAGGTTAGTGCAGCACTCAACGTAACCTACGTTGAAATTAATGAAAGTTATGTGGTAGCAATCAAAAGGAAATACTGTGTTTTCCTTTTTTTCAAAGGGGATTCCTTATGCAATAACACAATGAAGACTCCTTTCCTTAAAATAGAAGTGAAAAATATTTACATTTTCAAGCCCTTCTAAGAATAAACTAAAAGAAAAATGCCTCATTGCAAATATTTTAAGAAATAGTGTTTTGAATCACTCAGATTTATGTTTATATTTTAGTCATAAGAAAGTAAAGTGAGACTGAATGATAACCTTTCCCTCAATCCCCAAATCCAACAAATGTATTTGTAAAATCCAAAATTTAGTCTTATTTTAATGAATTTGAACATCTTTTCTTCTACTTCCCTTGCTTACAAAGTTCTTCAGTAAGTGATAAGTATATTTGTGATAGTAGTGCTTACAAATTTTCTTAAATTTCCTTTACTAATAGCGGACCTAGTGTGATGTTTTCTTGTGATACGAAGACTTACCCTGTGTAGTCTCTCCCTGCCCATTCCTCCAACCCCGTGTTTCCAGTGAGTTGACAGAGGTCTCCCAAAGCCTAGTTTATTCCTTTAATTTAGATGTGGAAATCTAAGCATTTTGTTTTTCTACCTTATGATTCCTTTCCAAAAGCCATTGATTCTCAGCAGTCCCTTATTAGTAGAAGTAAAAGCTCCGTTCAGAATTACTGTAGTTATTGATTCTAGGAGGAGGAGAGATAAAAGGAAGTACTGCTGAGCTTCTGGCTGATCGCTTGTGTTAGAGGATTTTTCACCACAGATAAGGATCTTAGGAAATGGATTTTCTATATATTTCTCACGAGGAATGTTACACTTTTTTCTTCATTTCCTCCTTAGGTGGATTTTCAAGATGTGCATGCCAGAACTGTGGCTGAGAGGAGAAGGGAAGAAGAGAAGCAAAAACGATTGGATAACATTTACAAAGAAAAAGCCAAAAGAGCTGAAAAAGAAATGGAAGGTGAGGTGCTTTGGTGCTTTTAGTGGTGTGTTGGGTTTTTTTTTTTGTTCATTTTTAAAGCAATCTCTTTTAAGGTTATATAAAACAAATTCTAAGAGGTTTTTTGTTCATTTTTAAAGCAATCTCTTTTATATAAAACAAATTCTAAGAGAATAGCTATCCAAATAATAGTTGACCACAGAGGATGGGAATAGTACATTTTTTAGAGCTTGACCCTCTGTCTCTCTCACCTGAAGAGTATCAGGGGAAACAAGTGACAGTCCTGTGAGCTCAGGTAGTGTTGAAGGGATTTTAAAAGTAAATAAATATTACAAGTAAAGGTCTGGTCTAGTAATTCGTTAAAGTATGAATGCATAACCTCAAGCAAGCATATCATGAGACTTTTTGGAGCTAGTGGCTTGATTTCTGTGTCATTGACTAGGCACAGACTTCTCAATACCTTGTGGACTGATGACCTTAATTATATTGTATATACAGTCATTGTGTTCCAGAAGTACAGGCAGTGGTTTGCACAGGAATTCTGGATGCAATGTAGGACATCTATGAATAGTATCATACTGCTGCTAAAAATGTGTCTAACTGGGGGCTGAATCTCTGAGCGATATGTCCATAGCAAACATATTTCTGTAATACAAAAGAACAACAGAGATAGTAAGTATATTATGTTGCAGTTACAAAGGGTTATTTAATTAAATTACTTTGGTATATGCAATGCATCCAATTGTGTCTGCATTTATTCTACATGCTGGAAACATTTTCATGCACGAGGGTGGAATTTTAAAGAGATTTAACCTTCTTAAAGTCACTTTTACTGGTAGCATCTTTTTGCGCAATAGCATATATTCATGGCTATACCTGCAAGCAATTATAACATTCATGGCTGCAGAATGAATACCCACCAACATCACTAAGAATATCCTTACTGAACCTTGTCCTGCTTCGATTTCTATGAAGTACTTGTGTCATCTTTGCATAGTGAAAGTTTAGAGAGGATAGGAAAAGGAGGAAGACTGATTCTAAATTCCTTGCTCAAGAAACTCTAGGTTTCCTGCTTAAGAAAAGTACTGTCATTTCTATAAGGACAGTTTCTGCAGCGGAGAGAGATCTGTGTGGCTAAATTATCACTGATTACTGGATAAATGGGTTACCAGTTTGGCAGTCATACTTGTTTTGTAAATCTGTGCCTGCTCTGGACACAGTAGCATTTTACAGTATTTAAAAATATTCTAAACCATTTCTGTCTTGATAGAAATGTCTGAAGAGATTGCCGACACACTGACAGAGATGGAAAACTGTTTCCGGCTTCTGATGCCAGATCCTTTCGACTTCACTGTGAATGACACGGAACTGGAACCCAACGAACAAATGACTGCTAATAAGGATAGACCTGCATCCCCCTCATCCTTCCAGATGGAAGTTAACCAGTCCTATTTTGGATGCATGGATGATGAACAGCCATGCTGCAGCAAGGACGTCCTTTCTGTTTCTCAGTGTGTTAGAACTGATAAAGAGTTAGAGGAGAAACAGGAGAAGGCTGAGCATAAAGAATTAGATGGAGACACATGCTCAGAAGTTCAATCTGATGTTCCTGCTCTTAATGATGATGATTACCAGACTTTTGTTAGGAATCATGGACTTATTTCACATAAGTATACTCTAGACCTTGAAATCTCCACAGGTACCTGGAAAAATTTTTCACATACAGCTAGACGCAGCCTTTGTCTGAAGTGCTTTGTAGTTGTGGGTTGGTTTTTTTTTTGGTTTTTTCTATGACTTAAATGCTGGGGTTCCTGGACAGCACTTTGATTTTTGGATTCCTGGATGCCACTTTGATTTATTTTGGAGTTCTTTACTATTTCTGATTCATCTAGTAACCATTCTTTAGTTTGGGCGTCTTTGTGTGTGATTAACAGATTTTATTAATTACTTTCTAAGACTGAACTTTTGTATTAGTTGTTATAACCACATTACAGCACTTCATAGTACCTATAATAAGACGATTTTCCTGTGTTAGAAAAAAATAATCTATTTACCATATATAATTTTCTTTCTTACACACTTCACTACTCACCTCTTTCTTTCTCTCTATAGCTGGGCTATAAGCCGCTAATTTAAAAATCTTACAATTGAGTGTTTCTTAAACTTTTTTCCTTGCTACTGACAACTTGCAAGCAGCGGTAAGTAGTTTTGCTAGGAAGTGTTGAGGATTACAATTATACCTTTTTTATGTAACTGCTAAAATGAGTTACCTCTAGAAAAATCAGGATGGTTTATGTTTTGGTAGTCTAAGTAGAGTCTCTTACAAACACTGTCCTAATGGAATTTCATGTGCAAACAGCAGTAAGGCAGGTATCTACCTCTGTGCTTGCAGCCAACAGAAATGGAAATGGATCTGCGGGGCTTATGAACTACTAACAGGTGAAAAGTACCAGTGTTAACTGATTAGTGCCATACTTGGCTTCTTTGACATTCAAGTCCCTATTGCCACTGAGACAGGGATTATTATTATTTTTTCATATTGAATATACAGAAACTGGTACAATAAGTTCCTTTGATTGGAACTTAGGACACGATGTAATGTAAACAGTAAGACTGCACTTGGCTGTGGTTTATTTAGTGATTCCTTGGTAGTGATGGCTTAACAGCTCTTTCTGTCATTGCTGGACTGAAAGCTTTTCATCTTTTCCTCGGGTAGAATACTTAATACTGAACAGAGAAACATTCTGATGTTTGTAACTTTCCCTGAAGTGATCAAATATTTTAGAAAGGTTCATGTCTACTTCTGCTTAGCTGCTTTAGCTCTTGTACTGAAGATACTGTAAACATCACACACTAACTCTCTTTTCCCCTGTTTTGAGCAGATATAAAAGTGCATGAGAATGAAGATAATACTGCCATAATAAACAATGTCATGGATGCTCACAAGCTCCTCAGAAATAAGTTCTGGCCTTCTGTGCAGTCTTGGATTCAGGTAGGATGAAGAGATGATTTTTTTCTTTTTTTTTTTTTTTTTTTAATAAATGGAGAAGCAAGGACTGGGGTACAGTAGATGCTGAGGGAGAATGAGCAAAAACGAAATTAAGGTTGAAGAAACATTGGTGCAAATAGAAAAGATAGTTTCAGTAGAAGAATAGTTCAGTAGGGGAGGACAAAAGGAGACTACAGGAGCTATGTAACTTGGTTGATGGCTATCAGCGTTAGCTCTGCTACCTACTGTCATTTTTATTTTTTTTTTTAAAGATAATAGTAAAATGGATCTTCTTCACAAAACATTAAAGTGAACCACAGCTTGTTTTTATCAGACATGTCAGTATCAGAAAAACAGTATGTCCTTTCTGTCAGTTGATACTACTGCTCAGGACCCTCCTGCATGGAATTTGGTCCACAGAAGGACACTCTCAGGAGATGTTTATACCAGCTGTTCATTCTTCGCTTGTCGTTAGTAGTTGCTATTACCTTTAATATTCTAGATAGGAAAAGAAGTGGCTTCGCTAATTGTTACTTGTAAAATAAAGGAATTTGTGGCAATGTTGTTTCATTAACTATGAAGGAAAACCAAAAATGCTATTTTGGCTCAGATGTCTAGAAAAAAGAATAAGAATGTTGATTTCTTGCTTTGCAGTTATTTACCAGAGCAGGAATAAATGATGATCGGCTAAGATGTGCCATTGATCTCAAGAATAAATTGGAGACTGCTATGAAGAAATACAAGGACATGAACATTTCCTTTAAAGCGAGAAAAAGAAAAGTGGTGAGTTTCTTAAAATTCTGTTTTACTAGGGGGCACCATTAGCAATGCTTGTCTTGTATACAAAAAAATGCACTTTCTCTTAAGCCTTAATCTGGGAAACTTTTCAACATGAGTTTTACTGAAAAGTACACTAGTTCAGCTGGTTGTAGCTTCACTCGAGGAAGTTGCACTAAACACCTGTATAGTATGCCAGGGGCCTACTTATTAGGCAAAACAATGTCAGGCAGCACTGTTGTTGTTTAGGATAGAGGTGGTTAAATTCAGATTTTATTTACTCTTAGTTTCTTCATGTGTAACACTGTTATGTCCTCAGCTGCTTTTGTGCATATTTCTCAGTAAATGCTGTGTTAGTCATGTTCTTTTACAACTTAGAAAACTACACTAGTGTTTCACAATTCAGGAAAGTAGTGTCTCTGCTTTGGAGCATTTACTTTCTCTAGTGAGCATGTAATGTGATTGAGGATATCTTAAGAGAATTAGTTGTTATATAAAGCTTTATCACAAAGATTAGCTACCTATGTTTTTGTGAAATTGGTAGAACTTGTGAATAAGCGGAGGCTGAAAGATCAAATGCTTTGGTCAAATCCAAAAGGGAGTCTATGGCTTGTTTATGTAGCTAAAAAGCAGAGCTGCATAATACTCACTTATGTTAGCTGCAATCAAATGAAATTACCATACAGCTTGACATAAAAATAAGTGTTGCGGGTCAGGGTCCAGAGTAGAGCCTGGTGTATGACTATATTGTAAGAATTTGATCCGTACATTATACCTTGGACTAAATGGTGGTGGCCTCGTTTAGCCATGACTGAATGTTGCAGACTTTGCTTTCATTGTGCAAATGAAGCTTTATCAAGATTAATCTGGTTCATCATCTTAATACCTACTGATGTACCACACCAGTCAAAAATGCCAACTCTGAATGAAAAGTACTGAAAGACTGTCTTGTCAGAGGTTTTTTTTTCTCCAGTGAAATATGTGTGCTACCTTTATGCAACCAGCTATGAAGGAATCCAGACATCTGCTGTCATTCCTGCCATTTGCTTGACAGGACTTCATTTGCTGCACCTCTGCATGGAATATTGGTTGCTATATTTCTTGCAAGATATAAAGGACATTCAAGCCTTGATTTTCGTGTGTGTGTGTGCGTGCATGTGTATGTGTTTAAAGTGCTATTGTTGCCACTTCTGGAGATTGATCAGTGCTATCTATATAAGGTTTGAAAGCTAATAAATTCCATCGTTAGAAGGGAAAAAGGGAAAATACATAGCAGTGCTCACAAAGAATACATTCAAAATGAAGCAATGCAGACTGAGGTATTAACTTAAGTGTTGAAAACAATATATAATTATTCCTAGGGTTTTTCTCCAGTGGAAAATACCCAAATTTAGTGTTAGTGCTGAGTTACTTTAAATTTATAGCCTGAATATAGAGAGCTTTGTACTGCAGAAGGAAACTGTATAAATTATCTTTTGTTCGCATGTCAAATGGCTTTGTTGAAATGTAAAAACACAGTAAAATGAGAGCCTGATAGAACAAAATAAACAGCATCTCTTAGACCGTGATTATTAAATCCCTATCTGTCAAATATTTACATGTCAGCATATGAAACACTACACACAGCTCCTCTTTAATTCAGCTTTGTGGCTTGTGTTATGTATTGTTGCTTCTGTCTGTAGGTCCTTGTATCATTGGAGCTATAGTTCTTGCCATGCCAATATTTTGCTATCTTTGGCATCTTTAGATCCAAGAGAAGAAGTACTGATAGTCTGTCCTTCAAAGCACTGGCTCGCAGCCATCCTGTCCCGACAGAGCTCAGTGCATTACGGCTGTTATTTGTTAGCACGTGGAGTCAGTGAGTGCTGTTACCTGCTCGTGTGTAGAGATGAGCACACCTAGAAATGAAGGGGAGCCTTTAGTAAGCAGAGAGAGAGCGTGTAAATAAAGTGTCTGAGTGCGGAGGGTCCTGTGTTAATTGTCTAGCTTGTAGTTGATCTGTGACAGCTCTACATTTGGATAGGGTAGCTAGTGACTGCAATCTGAGGTACATATATGATTAGCTGGAGAATGTAAAGGTGAATTGTTTGTGTACTTGCTCATTTCAAGTGATTATGATCCTACACCACAGGCAAGCCTTCGGGGACAATGTGGTTTTACTTTATCAGCAAATATAGAACAGAATGATAGGGACTTGGAAACTTGGTTGGACTGAGCTTGCCCAGTCTTCTCAGACTTTCTGTTTTTTTCTTTGTGCTCATTATCTTTGCTTCTGTGGTCTCTAATTTCCCCCCTCTTCACCTATTCTGTGCTGTGCTTTGCTTCTGTTCTGTCCAATGAGGGGGAGGAAAGGCTTTATCTCTCAAATTGAGATCAAGAAAGTTGATACAGGAAAGGTGGTTTTTTTTAGTGAGAGACTGTACAGTGAAACTGGAAGGGATTTGTTACTATCAATTCTGCTATACCCCTCATTCCCGCAGAGATTTAAATTGCCACTTAAAGGAGGGAAGGTCCTGGGTCCCTTGCCATTGCCACATACTGTTAGGACTGTTGTTTAGCTGAGCAGTTTACACTTGCACATGGCTGAGAGGAAAGTAAGGCATATATAATTGGGGTAATTCTTGACACTAGGGTTCAATATGAATATACCAGCAATGTAGCTGGATGTAATTACACTGGGAGGAAGAAGTTGGTTACCTGGCCTGCCTTCACAGAAGAATCATTTGGTTGGTGCATGAAGGTGTCTGCTTTTGGCAATCCTCACTGTTACCTCCATACTTTCCATTGTTTCTCACTTTGTTTTCCCAATCATGGAGCGTAAGTCTGCAAGGGAGCATCCTTAGGTAATTAGAGGATGTTAGAAAATTAGCACAAATTATTTTCTCTGAAGTTTTTTTGCCTTTGCTGAAAAATGTAAAAGCCCCACTGCTTTGCAAACTACAGGAGAACTTTCTGTAGGTTTACAGAACTTCTCTTATACAAAGTCACTTGAAGGAAAGCACAGAACTTTATACAGTCAAACATTTTATCCTGAAGTGGTTTGTAGTGACATGAGATATAACCACCTGTTTCTTTTCTCCATGATAGTGAAGAACTCAAACCATCAGAAAACCTTAGTTACGAGGTTTATATGTAGCGCTTAAACCCTGCCAACACAAGTAGGCTATGGCTCCATTCTGCGCTTACCTCTCAGGAGCCATGTGCAGAGAGAGAAAAGAAAAACAAAGGTTATCCTTTGACTGTCTAGAAACAAATCTCTTGCGGAAAATTTTATAAATGTTAATACATCCCACGTGTTCCTTCTTGCCATTGCTGTGCCCCCAGCAGATCAGAAGTCATCAACACAGTTCTTCCTGAGCTGTTCTTTTTCAGAGGGGTGGGAGCTGGACAAACAGTGACAGTCTTACTTTGTTAGTCAAAGGCAAATGAGTTATTGTGGGTTTACACAAATTAGGTTCGCTGTAGTTAAATGCTTGTTTGGGCCATGAATCGGGTGTTGGTTTCTGGTGTTTTGAGATTATAAGCAAGAGTTTCGAAATGCATTTTTCTGTGAATCTGAGTTTTAGCTGACTCTGGGGAAAGAGGTCAGAAGCTGTAAAAGCACTTTTATTTCACGGTACCTGGATGCCTGGACATATCCCTTTTTTTTCACTGAATGCTTGTTCAGGATAATCTCAGTGCCCAGTAGAGGGAGTGCATACTGCATGGTCGACATTTTTTCTCTACGCCACCTTTATCCAAAGCCAGCCATCATCTCAGTCTGTTTTTCCAGGCAAACTTACAACAACAGCTATACACCAGAGATGCCTTGAGTTAATTGTTGACTCTATTTAGATGAATTATTATAGAAGTACAATTGTGATTATTGGCTGAGATTGGTGTTTAAATAGAAATTCCTGTTTTCAGAGGTTTAATTCTTCTGTAGAAATACTTTGCTGATGGCTGAAATGTTCCTTTAATTTTTCCTGGTTAGGAATAGTTTCATTTGTTAACGTCTTCCCTGTTTTCATAAAATACTGGATTCTTACGGTTTTTCTTCCTTTGTCTCTGATTCACAGCTGATTAGATGCAAATGATCTTGCAATTTTTTAAAAGTTAGGAGAAATGTGTACTGTATTTTAAGTCATGCACACTATCTTTCACTTACATGATTTCCCTAAAGGATTATCTGTTGGATAATACTTGAAGTTCTCACATTATTAATAGAAGTGTAGCTCAACAGCTATATTTTGTACACTGAGAGTATACTTACCTCTTATGTAATTACCTTTGGGAAGCCATAAAAGGTTTACTACTCAGCTGGCTAAAACTTGGCCAGATAGAAGCTAGTAGGCAGTATGAGGTGAGAAACATCCCGCTCGTTTGTCTGTCAGCAGAGTGATTGTTTAACAGGCCTATTACATTTTGAATTTTTAATTTCAAGTTATATTAACAACCAGGGATATATAGTTTTTCATTAACTGTTTTCATTACTTTTTGTTTCACCTTTCCTTATCTTCTGTCAAATCTAAGCGTGCGCTTGGATCTTGATTTATTCATGTACTTAATTTTATCCATGTGAAACATCTGGTTGAATTCAATAATGTCGTTAATAATTAGGTTTGGAAAAGGCTGTCCTTGTGTTGTCCAGAACCTGATCTGCTCCCCAAACCCTACTGCAATGCAAGTCAGATTTTTTCTGAAAGAATAACCTCAGAAAATTGTTACAAATTATGTTTACACGTTAAATATTTGCTGGTCATAATTCAGTCTTAAATATTTTAATACATAAAAAGATTAAAAATTTAATATGTAATAAATTAAGCCAAGAGCTCTACCAATTACTTGACTGCAAAACTATTGCTGATTTTTTTTTTTTCTGTATCATCAACTAGAGCTTGGCATTTTATCAATGCTAATAAGTTATTTCTACCTAATCGTCTTGTAGCTTTATAACCACCTCTTTTTTTAAGTCTTTTAGTTAAGTTAGTGCCTGCTTTAAAAAAACCACAAAAATCGCATTTGAA